TCACTGTGGCCTCTTACCTTAAGGGTGGTTTTGCAAGTCCAAATAGCTTCCTGCTCCATAAGCAAGAGATATTTATTTTGTCTATCTCATCCTAAAAAGCACTGTCTGTTGGTTACGAGAAACTAGGGAGTGAACTCATATATCCTCATATACCCAAGAGCTGTGTACATACCATGGTGCAGGTTTTGCCTATGGCTCTGCTATCCCCAGCTCACCCTGTCCCACCACGATGCTCCAGCTGAGGCTGTCGAAATCATGTCCTTTAACCTTCCCTTTGTATAACTGATGGTTGCTTCTCTACACAACAAATGCAAACTTGCAAAGTGGGTTTGCTCTTCCAGTGCTTTTCTCCCTCCATATTTCCTGCAAAATCTCACACATAATTGCTTTAGTCTTTTAACTAACTGTTCTTCCAATTCACTACCTGTATTGGGAATACAAGTTTGTGTAATTAGTAAACTGGACAGCACGGGAAGCACTAGTATTCAGTGTATTTGCTACAGCTACTAGTACCCTGTCCCAAGAGCTCTTGAAATCAATAGAAAACAGTGGAGCAAAAGGAAGTGTCCTCTGCTTCAGAGAAGGAAGAATTAAAATGCCTCTAGACTGCAGCACTATGTGCTGGTGCCCAGGCGGTTTGGGGCTGGACTTTTGAAATGGATTTGACTTGGCCCCAGGGTCAAGCATCAACCACTGGAGCAAAATATCTTCCTTTTCTGTACCTCCCTCAGCAATGTTTTAGAGCTCACTAACCGTGCATGGCAATGAGAGTTCACATGTGCAGGTACAGTCCAGGACCCAGGGATTGCTCGTAGTGATGCTGAAGGCTCACTGAAACACAGCCTGCAAAATTGTTCTTTGGAAGAGTATTTTTATATTGCATTTCATATATTTCAGTGTTGGTATTAAAATACATAATTTAGATGTGTCTGTATATTTGCATAGGCTGTGATTGTTGCTTGAGTTGCAAAAGGCCTTGAGATATTCGCTTCAAGGGCAATGAATAAGCAGAAGCTGATTACTGTCATATTAAATCTGATCACCAGGAAAAGCCCATGGGGTTTGTTCTCAAGAATTATTCATTCCTGCAAGTTTGGAACCTTTTTTTCTTTTTCTTTTTTTTTCTTTTCTTTTTTTTTTTGTATGGCAGAACGTTCACAAGGTCCTGAGTGCAGCCCGTCATTTACCAGATGAGAAAAGGTAGGAGATGGCTTCTGGGAATCATGAACAGCAACGTGAAATGTCCTTTTTTGACCTTTCTCAGGGGAAGGTGATTCACACGTAACCTACCCAGAGTTTCAAAAACATACTGTCACTTTGGAAGTGAAACCCTGGCAGAAAGATGATATGGAGGCTGCTGCTGGATTGGCACTTGGTGGGGGCTGGCCTCTGTTCAGGCTTTTTTTGGGGAGTGAATAGATGAAACACTCTTCTGGTTAAGGTTCTCTTGTTAGCAGAGGCCCTAAGCAGGTTGCCCTAAAGAAGCTGAATTTTATCCCATCTGCTTTTCCTAATATAAGCCAGGTTTTAGATTCAGGACCATGTTCTTTTTTTATTAGCAGTTACAGTAACTGACAGAATGTAGACAAAGGGCTAGCGTGACTCTCAACTGCAGGCATGGTTGCAGAGAGTTCAGATAGGTACAGCCCGAACCTATTTCCTATCACTTGGAACAAAATGTATTAGAACTCCTATGTGTGCTGTTAACCTGAGTAAATCATTGGAAGGTCACTGTCCCATTGCTAATGACCTGAGCCTTTAAAATAAGCCAATTTGAAGACTGACGGGAAACCATTTTTAAGTTTCCAAGATGGTTACTTCTAATATAGTGAAGGAGAAATGGTTTTGAGAAATTATAAAAAATACTTTGATACCTCTCTGTAACACAATGATGTTTAGATGCAAGTATGTCTAAAAGAGAATCTCCTGTGCTACTGAGTGATTGAGATGCAACCTCCCCTGAATACAGGGTTTATATAGAATATCCTTCATGGGAGGCTGGCCAGGATGTTCAATGACCATTCTATGATAGATATATTGATGACACTTTCCGTATTTGTAAGAATCAACAGTGAAACAGAAGAGGATAAAACAGACGCAGTCTCAGATACATCTCTTCCATCTTCAGATCTTGTTGACCTTTTGCTATCAGAAGCTAAAGAACTGCTAGCGCCAATCCTCTCCAGCAAGGACGGTAAGCACTGAGTTAACTGGAGAAACCTGAATCCAAACAAGTCTCCAAGATGTCTCTTATAGTTATTTACAGTTTCCACCACCTTCTACATCCATATTTCTTTGCCATACCAGTTAAGCCTCACATACATGTACCTGATGCTCTCCTGCTAGCTGAGATGTAATTGCCCTCCCTGTATCCATGTGACTCATCTTTGAATCCAAAATGCAGACTCACAGTGTAAGGAGGCAAAGGGTGTAACTTGTGCCCAGGGCCAGAGGAAAGGCTTTTCTTCAGGGTTAAAACTGAACAGCCAGGAGGTTTCACAGAACAGTAGAAATGCTGGCTGAAAGGAACTGCTGGAGATTAGGAGTCAAATCTTCTGCTCCACGTAGAACCATCACACTAGATCAGATCTGTGGCAGGCTTATCCAGCTGTGCTTTCAGCACTGGTGCTGGAGACCCACAGTCTTTCTGGATAATGCATTCCCCATGCTGCATTATGCTCTCGTGAAGATTTTCCCAACATCGAGTCTGAACTCCCCCAGGTGCAGTAAGTGGCCACTGCCACAGTTATATTGTCGGCCACTGCCAAGGAGAGCTTGGCTCCAACACCATTCTAACTGTCCTTGGGTAGAAGTAAGATTGCCTCTCAACCTCCTTTCTGCCAGGCTAAACAAGCCCAGCCCTCAGCCTCCACCAGCCTCTCCTTGCAGATTATGAGCCCTGGGGCTCCCTTTGCTGGACCACGTCCAGTTTCCCAAGAACTTTGAAGCGGGGATCCAAACCTTCATTACACCATCCAGGTATGACTACAGCAATGCTGAGCAGAGGGGAACAGTAATGTCCCTGCTTCCTTGGTGTACAGTCAGCCTTGACTCCCTTCCTCTCACATGTCTGTGGATGGGAGAAAATCAGAGAAAAGGGATCTAGCTCCATGGGAGCCAGAATTAACTTTCCTGAGTCTGGGTCTCTGAGCTCAGTCCATGAGCTATAAACATTTATTGACAGCAGTTATTTGACCCCACTTGCCTCCTTCCATGCAAAACAAGAGTTTCTGTTCTCCTCCATGTCACGACCAGGTGAGCGTGCAGCCCCAAGTAGGTGGCCAGTCTTTACTCTTTGATGCTATTCACCAACTGAACATGGCCAAGGGCCAGCGTTGTCTTTGTTTCAAAGCACAAACAGAAGGAAAATAATCGTAGGCTTTAAGGAGCACCTCTGAAATATGAGTGTGTCAGCATTTTCTGAGTTCCTGCATCATTTAAATGTGCATTATCATCATGCAGCAGCCTACTTGCATTGAGCATGTTTTCTAACCCTACACTTATACTTGGCTGTGTGCTTCCATTTGCAGCTTCGCCATGTGACAGGGACCAGTGCCTGCCTGTTGAAGGAATCCCAAATTACAAGGAGTAGGTGTCAAAACTGCTGGTCTGTAATACACATACTAAAAATTCCTGTTTGTTTTGTTGAGGTGTTTTGATC